TTAGGAGGTGTACTGAGCACAGCAACCCAACAGCCTGGGACCCTGGCAGAGATGGCAGCCTGAGACATCCTCAGGCGTCCTGCGGACCGCAGCCCAAAAGTCTGGGACTCTGACAGAGATGGCAGCCCGAGACGAGTGACAACACACGTAGGTGTAAGCAGTGTTGCCACTAGCGCCATGTGCAAGGACAGAAACGCCATTTTTCCTACATGGACACACACTGGGGATAGTTCTTAGACAACTACGCATCGCATTGTGGGGGGCCCGGAAGAAAAAAGAAGTGCGCATGCCAAAGCCACACCGATGGTGCTCTAGCTAACTGAGCAGCAGGCACAGAAAGACTGCATGACTTGAAGTTGATGGTGTGTTTCTATTGCCACTTGACTAGAGCATAGCTGAATGTTCGACGATCCGCTGCATGAGCTAACAACTCTTTCGGTGCTATTACAGAGCAGGTATAAGGGTCGAGGGAGTAAAGGGTAGTGGGTTTTCTTTGTAGCCTGCCTCCACATCCATTGCTTGCTAGATGTCCTGATTTTGTTTCATCCTAAGCGCGTTCGTTCATCTATATCTAGCTAAAGACAGTTGGCGAGCGCATCAGTATCGCCCGTCGTGACTGTCCTCCCCTAGAGTTAAAGGCACAAAATTCGGCTGTTTCTGGTAACCAGTATCTTGTTGTTTAGCGGGAGGGGCATTGACGCGCTTAATGCTTTAACATCTGCTGCATCTATCGCCACACATGAGTACCTGTCTTCAGAAAACGAGGTGAATGATTCGCTCCTCCTCTCATAGACTCGTAAGCACGCATTTGGTGAATCCTGCTCTTTTCACTCCTTCATTGCCCGCTTTTGGGGTCAGCCAGTTATTAGTTGCCTTTCTCTCATTCACCCCTTGCACGGACCTCTTATATAAACGCGCCCTGCCGAACAGATACAACTTTACGCAGCGCTGCATTGACGCCCTCCATTGCTTCGCAGTTTCTAACTCTGCTATTTGTTGCTTGCTTAAAGTAGGAGGCCGAGTTGTACATGAAGGCGGCCTAAGCATATTGTTTGCCTCCTTCGAAGAAGCTGCCAACCGTATCCATGCGGCGCCCCTGCAAATATTGCTAGTGGAATTCAGGGAAGGCCTGCTCTATTCGTGCGTGCTGGCAGGAATCATTTTTGGAAGAGTAGCGCAGGCGAAGATGATCTTGTATTGTCTTTATAGTAGTGGTGACAAGCGGCGGCCCTGTTGGAGGTAGCCAAAGCGGGTGCATCTGCGTTCTTGGTCATCCCGCCACAGGGCGTCACCCTAGCAGTCATCCAGCTCAGTTTGCCCACCTGCAGAAAGAGATCTTCTCAACAAAGCGTTGCCTTGCCGCCGCCGGTATTAACAAATAAAGACATTCCGTAGGTTCTTCTGGAGGCCTAGGTGACCTCCACTGATTGTAGTACTCACGTTCTACCCGCGCATTTCCCAGTCATGTAAGCTAAGAACAGAACACTGATGTATCGCCAACAAGGCTATTAGTCGGTGGTATGACTATTGTAGCAAGCGAATGTTTGCCTGTCTGGGTAAAACGGACGGAAGCAAGGCAGTCAAATGGGCACTCTTTAGGATGGTGTCAAAATGTCCTCAATATCCACGCGAGAGCATATTTTACGTCACTCCAACCATGGGTTGCTTTTCGAAAGCTTTGAATGTAGAATCCCAAAAAGATTGGATTGAAAGCACTCGGTATTATGTGCGATATTGCATACATACGGTATTAGCTTATCTGCACTCCGCCTGCTTCAGCAAAGCAAACTGCAGATACGTTAAAAAAATGGGAAGCCTGGCTTCTCGCGTACCATACGTCGGGACAGGACACGAAATATTGATAACCATGAAGCATCGCTAACAAGAGCTTTCGTATGTGCATGCAAAAAGGTGACGCAAGTGGCCAGCTTTAGCTGGCCCTTTGCGTCATTGGGCATGCCGCCTCGAACGAGAGAGCAGAATAAATGCAATCTATGGATTAACGCTTTCCCTGAATATGGCACGATGCCTGCCAAACGGCCTGGCCATACAGCGAACAGTGATTCTGAAAAGGGCTTGCTCCAGCAATTCCATGTGCAGCCAGGCTCCTTCACTGAGCCATATAGCACGTGGTTTTTTTCGTTTAAATCGGTAGAATAGTGAGCACGATACGCGCCCAAAGAAAACATTTTATGTTGGAGTTGTGATGCTTCAGCCTGGTATTTTCTTATGTTTTTTAGGCCTCGCGTTATATCGAGTGCCTTTTGCTTGCCCCCGTTCCCGATCTGCATGAAGGCAAAGCCCCTGCAGCATTGTAGGTAAGTGCGTACCTGCACTGCTACCACTTGATAGTGATCCCCCTGTGTACGGTATGCCCAGCCCTCGGTGAGGCCTCGTTTCGTTGGAAGGATCTAGGGGCTCGTGCTGCTGGAGGTTGGAGATAAAGGTAGCAGCTGGGGGGCACCAGGTGGGCATAATGCCACAGACGTCAGTACTGCTGCTTCTGGTGTATCGGTCAGCACCCCCACCGCATAGGTCGCCTTTTATCCAGCCAGAACCGTGAGGACGCATGTGACGGTCGTTGCCAACTCCACAACGGTTCACCTTCAGAAGATACCTGGCCGCAGCTCTGGAGCCTTTCTGACTTCCGAGCGTCTGAAGCCCTGAAGAAAGACAACAAAGCAATATCGAAATACTAGGCAGTGTTGTGGCTCCAAACTGGGCTTTCTGTGGAATATTTACCCCGATTGGGCCCTTTAGCCCAGGATTCACTTCAGTAGTGCATTTGTATCCCGACTGCCGCAACTTCCCAAATAGGCTACAGGTCTCGCATCACACCTGCAGTCTCTGGCGGCGCTTCGCGGCGAGACAGCAAAGAACCGGTCCCGTTGCTGGGCGAAATACCAGGAGCGCCTACCCCCACAACGCCGAGATTAAGCGCTACCACCTCCGGCGCTGCTGGCGGCGTCTTTGTTTTGGGGAGCCCACCTAATGGGAGGGCTTCAGTTTTGGTCTGCACTACTCGAACCTTTGACGCCTTTGCCAAAAGTAGTTGGTGGTGCTGCTGCTGTTGCAGGATTTGCTGCTCAAGGGTCGATTGTTGCTGGATTGTCCCCGGCGCCATATCTGTCTCGTCATTCAGCACTTCGGAAAGGGGAAATCCAGAGTCTTCGGCACTAGGTAGTCCGTCCGGGATACCAGCTGGTAGCTTCCTGTTGACCTCGTCGAATAAGATAGTTTCTCCATCAATAAACTGTAGATAAGGGAGCTGCTCAGCTAGAACCGAACGCCATTGACGCCGTTGACAAGCAGGGTTCTGATGAAACCTGCATTACATTACCGTGTCGTGCAGGTAATATTCAAAAATACAGCAAGTATGGAAGTGAATTCCGCATGCACAGGGTACAAACCTGCTTAATATATGCAGATCATGAGACCAGAAAACAGAAAAAGCGATCCCCTGTAGAACTCCACATAATAGACTGGACTCCACCGCAAAAACCCTCAATGCTTCACTAGTTTTGCTACTGCGTGCATAGCATTTGTTGATCTGTACTGTGGAAAAAGACTAGCTCACCCTATTTGCCTCAGTTTGGGTAGTTGAACAAGGTATTCTGTCTGAGTGAAATCCGGTATCCTATTTTGAGCTATGCGCAACTCCTCCAGATTGGGTAGAAATGGAAAGCCGGACAAAGACCTGAAGGACAAACCAAGTAATAGACACGCTTCGTGAGTATTTTCACTTGCTGGTTAGGTTTCCATTGCTATGCTTGCGAACTACCAAATGACATCTGCATTCCTTGCTGTGTGTTTTGTGAGCCATGCACGGCTCGAGAACCGTGGTCCATTTGGCGCTGCTTTGTTGACGAAGCAGTTCAGCTCGCAAAACTACCTGAGTCCATTTCGTTCCATTATCAAACATCGTAGAGTCTCAGAAGCTCCCTGGAACCCTTCCGAATGGATCCTCCTGATGCGATTGTCGCTTAGATCAAGCACCTCTAGACGGCAACAGTTCCCAAGACCCTCAACCCGTGAGAGCCCATTCCCCTGCAACTGCAGTACCCGAATGCTCCCTAGCGGTGCTGCTGCCAAACTCTTTAGACTGCGCAGGCAATTAAAACTCAAGTCGAGCCGCTGCAGAGAAGGCAAAATTCCCCGCAACACATGGCAAAGCGGGTACCCAAACCCGACGAAGATCTGCGTTAGATGCAAAAACACGCAAGGAAGCCTTTGAGGCTCAAGCATACCTCTAAAAGTGGCAAAGAGACCAGCCCTGGTCCATCAACCCCACCTAAGCCCCCCGATGCAAGGTCGATTTTGTTGTTTGCTACCAACAATTCCTGCACGCATTCACTGCGTAACACAGACATATTCTAATCCTTCGGCATATGTAATTCATCATTGTCTTCAGGTTTCCCTGTCTTGATGCATCTTAGTTGGAAAATAGGAAAGGTGAAACGCAAATTTCCGTACATGGCTGTGAGGTGAATTATGTGAAAGTATGTGCCATCATGCAGTGCAGGGAAGCCACAGTAGTGAACCAGTCACCCAGCAGCTCTGCCGTCGCAAACCTCTCTTGAAAACAAAGTACGAGTTTCGCTTGTACATGTTTAATTTCGTATAAGCTTTTTCGTGCTGCACATCGAGGTGTGTTAGTCCAGTGAGTTGCAAGACTGTACTCTCAAGAGGGGCAAGGTGCCCAGTGAAGCCAGACTCGTAATTTTGTTTTGATTCAGATTAATGCTCAGCAAGAACGGAAAATTTTCCTCCGTTATCACGTCCGAAATATGGCGAAGGCGATGACCCGATAAGTCAACTGACCTGAAGAAAAAGTGAAGGCAGAAGCGCTCTGGAGGTGTCGACACACGCTCCGAATGCATCATCCTACATTCGCTAGGGTGAATATTCAGCAGGAAAACCCACGAGCGTCACTAGTGCAGCGGGGAATTATATATAAGGGAAAACGAAGGAGTTATTAGCTCGTGTGTCCTGCGCATGTGAGGACGAATTTTAAGTGCCGAAGGATGTTCAAAAATTTAGGCCTTTAACGCTATATAGACCCATGAATATGCCTTCCACCCAACGCATAAGTCCATGAAGCACGACGCAGCTCAGTTGGAGACTTCAAGCGAGCCTGCGCTGGAGTATTCACACTGCTAATTTCTACATCCCCGGTTTCACATGACTCTTCGGTTGCGGAACTGCTCATAGAGAGCTTGATTACGAATTGCAAATATTTACTAACCTGATGCTCTACGTGTACATAGGAAATCATAATACTTTTTATTTGAAACATGATTGCACGCTTAATTATAAAATAAACTTTTAATGACGCAGGAGTATGCGCGCAGTTTATGACCCGTCGCACCCTTCAAGGCATGGTAGTTGCTTTCCTATAATTTGTTCCAACAGCTCCCTTGTGAGCCTCCCAGCGAATACTTGCTTTATTTCTTCCTTCTCCTCTTGTCTTGGCTCAACTCCATCCAAAACTTTTAAAGACGGGAGGAGGTAGAGAGAGTAGGGACGGTATTCTGCCTCCATGCTTAAAGGCGTGTTGCGCAGATCAAGCACACGGAGTGATGGACACCGAGAGAGGTCCATTAGAGACCTGAATGCAGAACAGACGAACATGCATAGAAAAACGCAAGTGCTAAGATTGACTGTATAAGAATTCCCTAGAGAACAGACATCCAGTAGTTGAAGCCAAATCAGAATAATCAAGAGTCAGCAATGGAATGAGCATTCCGAGTTGTTGCAAAGCACAAAAGGCGGGAAAATGCAAAGCATGCAGAGAGTGTATATATCTAAAAACTACTATAATTCCCGCTGTGCGACTCCATTGTTTTCACTGCAGGAACATATATATATATATATATATGCATATATATATATATATATATATATATATATATAAAGGTGTAGGCATATGGAAAGCTGCTTCTAAAAACACTCTCAAAGGATGCCCCTCTGTTGGGAAAATCGTCAGTGGGTCACCGAAATGCTCGAATGTTGTTGTTGCTCAAGTACAACTGGGTGAGTGCCGGGAGTCCTCCGAGATGCTCTAGTTGCTGCAGTTTGTTGCCTTCAGCACAGAGGAAAACTAGGCGTGTCAGCTTTCGCATGCCAGAGGGAAAGGAAGCGATGCAGTTATGGGAAATGTCCAGGCACTCCAACTGGCAGAAGGACTCAATCCCATCAAGGCTCTCAATGCGGTTCCCGTCAAGGAGCAGCTCTTCTAGGAGGCTCAATCCCAGCAGACCCTGCAAAGCGACGCACGAAAAGGTACTGTAAGCAGCTAGCAAGGGCTTTCAACTCCGAAGCACTTCAAGCTTCAATGCCGAGTAGGGAGGGCGCAATGTTGCATTTAGTGCAGACACTGGCAGCAACCAAAGCCCTGAAGAGAATATTTTCCCCCCGGCTTTCTCTCGGGCATTAACGTGATCAAAAAATACGAGCTACCGTCAGGAGGGGAAAGCCAGTTAAACACTCAGAAATAATGGTTTTAAAATGAGGGCATGCGGCAAATGAGTGATCTATAGGAAGGGCATAGACCCTAGGTTTGCCTAACGGCAGTATCTGTTCTGCGCACATACGAACAAGGCGAACCTGAATGCTGCTAAGATTATTTTCAGAAAGCTCCAGCTTTCGAAGCCCAACTAGTGTGTGTATGTTTGGGGCGTCACGCAATCGCAGAAAGGACATCTCCAGCACGTCCACTTTTTCTCTCCAGTTGCTCCAGGTGATTTTAGGTGCCCCTACGAGATTTTCTCTGAAGAAACGCTGGGCACCACCATTTGAGAGGTGTTGGTAGTGTGAAGGAGACCAGTGGGGTTTAGCGTTACTGTGCGGAAGCCAGCCGCTTATTCGCGCCGTCCGGATTGCAGCAGCCACACTGCAGAGCCCTCCGCAGCACATTGTGTGGTTTGCTGCATCAGAACTCGCCAAAACCTGAGGCGCTGTTACAGACGGAACAGCCATTCGCTGAGCGACCGCCTCGCACTGACAGGGGGTGCAGCTGCAACAGCAGCAGCAGAAGCAGCAGCATTGCTGAAGGGGACCCCGACAAGCAGGAAGCAGCAGCGCGACCGGGAGCGGGTCAAGATCTTCCAACGGCCTGGAAGTACTTGCTGTCTCAAGAGACCCTGTCCTAGGAAGTACAAAGGAACATGCCAAAAGCTGAGCGTCCTCTGCTTTACATGTGCTGTAAACACCACAAAGGACAGTGACTTGAATGGGAAAGGACTTCAACCCCTTAACCTTGGATCCATACTAAGAATACGGTTGCAGCAGGCCCTCAGAAAGCTACTCTACACCCGGGCACAAGATGACTCTGCGCAATGCTTAACATATGTGCCCGAGTTGGACATGGGTCACGAGCTGGTCCTTCACTGTGGCCCTCGTTTCGAAGAGCATGCAGGAGGGCACTAATGGCTATTCGGCTCCCCACCAGTATCGATGGCCTTGGGACTCGTCCATGGAAGAAACCTCTGCTGCTGCTGCTATGGCCCAGCTGCGTGGCTCGTTTGCTCCTGATGCGTTATGATGCAAGGCGGAAGAAGACACGACGGGCGCCCCTGTCGCATATGCATAGTGAGCGGCTGGTGGAGCCACGGATGCATCTGCCTGAGTTGGTGATGGAGCGGTTGACGACTTCAGGGGACATGCTAGAGGGTCTCCGCCCGGTGCCGTCTGCAGCGGCCGGCCGTCCAGCAACTCCAGCGCAGGCAATAGCTGCTGGAGTTGGTGCGAACTGTGCGAGCCCATGTGCAAAGGATTCCCCGCAAGCCACAGCTGCCGTAGTTGGGGTGCAGCAGTCCCTGAAGCAGCAGCACCACCAGCCAAAGTTGCCATATACCTAGAACACCTCGACGAACCTTCTTGAACTTGAAGTGGCTGAGGGGTTGCATGTCTGCAGTCTTTATGATAGTTGAAATTATCGGCTTTGGGGTGAATCCCACGGGATTCGGCTTCCAGAAAGTTCTCACTTTTTCATATACTGTGTAGGGGCACTGAAATGCAGGTCCTAGTCTACCTTTCACTACTATCACACGGGAATATCGCTGGATGCAACTGTGAATATGTTTGTTACTTCGGATTTTCGCAAGACTTAGCACGGTGATCTACTGCTTCTGCTTAGCTGTTCCCGCTTTTGTTTGCTTTTTTCCCTTTTGAGTCTATTTCTGTGCACGTGTATGAGGTCAGTTGTGTCTGTGGGATGGGCGGACCGACTGGCGCAAGATCAGACAAGAGCAGCAAGTGGTTAGCAACGAGGCACAGCTGCTGCAGACGGGGGGCACCCCAGAAACCGTCGAGGGTGCAGAGCTCATTGAAACTCAAATCTAGTACCCGCAGCTGAGGCAGCTCTATCCTGCTGCATTCACTGGGGGCTCCTAAAGAAGAGTCTTTCGGGGACCGCGGGGGCGCTGAAGCTGCTGAAGGCTCTCCAGGGGCATCAAAGTTGCGCAGACCGTTAAGGGGCAGCAGCAGGACCTGGAAAAAGTAAAACGAAAGCAGTAGCTAGTCCTGCATAGGCTGTGAAGAGTACCTTTTAGATGACAACGCTACCTAGTTAAAGTGCTGCCAACGCGCCACTTCCCGTTGCAGTTTCGTTGTGGTACCCCTATACATTCCCTCACGGAAGCCCGATCGCCAGCTATTGCATCAGCAAACGAGAAGGCTGTTTTCTTCACATTCCTTCATTTTTACGAGATGCATACGGTCTCAGAAACGAATGGAGGAACATTTGCGCACCCGAAGCCTCTGAAAACTTAGTAGAACCCCACGGCTTAGCGCAATGAGGTGTGCGTTGCTACTAAGGCTCAAAGAGAGAACGTCTCCGTTGCAGTCTAGCTGCGCCTTGCAGTCTCCTGCTCCACAGACAGCTGCTGCAGGTTCCGTAGGGGCCTTCTGCAGTCTCCCCAAGGATCCTAGTGGATACATGTGGCGAATGCAGCCATAGTCCTGTAGGAGGACCTGCTGCAAGTGGCTTTCGCCAAAAACAACTTCTTGAGCTGTCGATATGCAGCAAGGGCACATTACAGCCTTCGTCCGCAAACTCTCCTCGGAGATTTCAGAAACACGCTCGTTGTGACCCCTTGCTTCAAAGAGCTCTTGTGTCCTCTTGCATTTCGTCAGTTCCCTTACGTGAATAGACAGAAGGTGCTTAGCCATGCTGAGGCAGACACAGAGTTCGAAGGGCACTGATTACAGTACAGAGCTACTGCTACAATTCTTTCAAGGCCGTCTTCGTTTTGTAGTTAGCAATTCACACGCCGGACGTCAACACAGGAGCGCATTCTCACAACTGTCCAGATCTCTGTTAATGCCAAAACGCCTCCGGGAAATGCTGAGGATGCGGCGTACTTGACAAGGTCTAGGAAGGGAGAGACGCCGTGCGGATCTTGTCCCTTGGTATTTGAATGGCTGTGCTGAAAGGTTGCTGCATTATTTGACTTGTAACCGGCTGGGCCTACAGCAGGGTCCTGGGGTGCCTCATCCAAGTTCTGTGTCTGTATGGCTGTCTTAGTCCCTTGAAATCCTTCTGTCTCTTCCCTGGGCTGCCGAGCACTCGCTGCCCTAGCTGCGTCTTGTGATCCTCCAGTTGCAGCTGCTGCCGCTGCACCTCCTGCTGCAGCTGCTGCTAGCTCCGGAGGTGTCTGTGCAGCTGGTGGGCCGCCACAAGGGTTGGAAAGTGCAGAAGAAGCGGAATTAGACGGATTGTTTGAATACGCGAACCGAACGAGAAAATGGGGAACGAGGCAGTGAGGCTCAAGAAACCACCTGGAAAACAATAGGGAGCATTCAGAGACGCATCAGGAAAACTAAATCCTCTACAGCTTCTTGCGTACCTACGTCGTTGATGAAATTTGTCATCAGCACTTTCCCCCCTATGTAAAACTTCTTTTGAAGTGCTTTTGTTGGGCTGTTTCCTTTGTTCAGCGGGAATCCGCGCAAGCGATGCGCATGCAGCTTGCTTCCTCTCTAATTGCGGAAGATAAGGGTACACCTGATTGAAACAAAGCTACTCCGTTTGAGGCAAAGCTATTCCGTTTGTCTGACTTCTACACTATTACTGAACAGCGAAGTACAGTTGCCGCTGTACTGACAGTTGCAGAGAGTCCGAGGTGCTGTGCGATGACACGCTTAAAGCTAAGCCACAAACATTTTGCATGGAGCTCCGCATATTACAGCAGCCTACAGTATAGGATTTAGAGCCGCAGGCTTGTTCGCACCATGTTTTTATCTGTGGGTTTGAAATCCTTTGCTTGTACACACTGGCAGGGCCGGGAAGAGCCAACGCACAGGGATTTGAAGCAGTTATACTTCGGATTGCTACGGGAAGAACAAGCCAAATAAAGGGTAAGAATGCGTCTACATCAAAGCCCTAAGCTACTGTGTATGAAATGTGCCTGTTCCTCCGTTGCTGTTAAGTGCTCTTTGCTGTTCCAAGCAATAGACAGCACACAGAGCTTGTGAACCCCTTGATATATCTGCTGATGATGCTTGGGCATAACTTTGTCTCTTTATTTGGAGTTCAGAGAAGGTTGCATGCATTAACTGTCTTTCCTTACTGTATTGCTCTTCGGCTTTGCTGATAGTGCATTTAGAGGGCCCCTGTTCTATCAGACTTGGAATTTCCTGCTGTGTATACCCTACAGGGGTATCTGGCATGGACTCATGAAGAAGACACCGACAGAGCAGAACTTCCCCATCAGGAAGCGCCAGCTGGCCATCTCTAACTGCCTGCTGCACAACAGAGTTGTTGAGTGGCTCCCCTCCTTCCTGGTTGTAGGGGCCCTCGACCTTCGTGGGAGACATATCGGCACAGGGAATATCTTCAGGCAACGCTGCATTCGCTTTAGCCAGTTCAAGCGTCTGCCTTGCAATCGCCTGGAATGATTCATTTGAGGCCAGGTAACTGTTCACACAAACACGAACTCCTTGCCCCCTCCCTAGCAATTGACTCGTTTAAATACGTTTTAAAGCCGATAAGCAAACAATAAGAAAACTCCACAGCCCCTTGCTTCGATCCCTGCTTAGGTGGTACGCGCAAGCACGCGTGTCAGACGCATGCACACAAGACAGGCGACTTCCTCACTGAAGACGGGGCAGGTCTGCGTCTGCTAAGCCGTTTGACGCGGCTATTAGAGGACAACTATGGAGCCCATTTCTTTGCGAGAACAAATCCCCGTACATGCCGGAGGTGCTCTGCCTGGGGAAACCACAAAAGCAATCCACAGACATGGTATTTGTTCATGAACACGCGCTCTAGAGTTATTTCCTGTACGTATGCAGTCGGGCGACTTTGTGCGAAAAAGTGTACATGCCGGAGTGCTCGCAGCTTTTAGGCGTGATTCATGCACAAGCAAGATCAACAATGTTTCTGAAAACCCAAAGGAAGGCAAACTGTGAAAAGTTTTTCCTTAGCGTTCGGCAGCCAATATAGTAGTGCTCGAGATAACGCAGTAAACATTGGAACAGACTGTGCAATCCATTTTCTTTTTGCTATCGTACAGCTCTACTAAGCAACACCTTTAAACGTATTATCCTGTAGAATATATATATATATATATATATATATATGTATATATTCATGTGCACATACATAACACGTTATCACCTCTAGAGGGCGGTAGTCATGGTGCTATATATATATATATATTTATATTATATATATAGCATCATAACTACCATCACTTGTATGCCACCACAAAATATAACTCACTTGAGCAGGCCCCATGGCTGGCGGGGATTGGCGCCGCATAGCACCCAGTCCCCAGTGCTTTCCACAGCACATGCGCTCCTGTACCAGGCCACAGTAGGGAAACCAAGACGTCAACGGAATGAGGAGTAGTTGCGCGGCTAAGCGGCTAACTGCTGGGTCTGTTTACATATGCATTTACGTGCACCCGATGAACCTACACAAACGCATATTTTACGGTGGCTCGTAACGGGCAAGCTAGACGTCAGCCATAAGAACAAACGGTACAGCAGCAGTGCCACGAAGAGGCGGAGCAGCAATGTGGTGTGAATATTATGTCAATGGTGCAACATGTCCTTAGCAGAAGCAGGCGGGAAGAGCACTCATTTGCTAGGGAGCGTTACCAATGAATAATGACTTCACCATCATAACCAACACTACCAACTGCAATCGTACAGTGGCAGTACAGCGGTGTTGCACATGCATCTGTGGAGGTTTATGTATGCACTTCTATCCGAAGGGTGCTTTTTCACATATAAAAATAATTATCAAATAGGCACTTGTAAATATACATTGTGTAGGTAGTTGCAGCTTGAATATTTATCCGAAGGGTGCATATTTACATATAAAAATATCTAGCAATAGGCATCTTCACATACATTCGTACACACAGGCATACATTATATACATATACATGTAATACTTATGCTGCTGTCGCTGGTAGGTGTACCTGAGCAAGTCGAAAGCTGCTTCAGCCTCTCTGTTAACGATCCGGTGGACACTTTTGATTTCAATGCTTTTAAATCCGAAATCGACGAAATCGTCCGGGTGGAACGATCGAACCAAGCAATCTGCAGCTCGACGATACCTAAAGACAACCAACCGAAATAATCACCCTAAACTCTGCACCATGAGAACCCTGAGTAAACCTAGAACAAACACCAGAAGACCTGCAAAAAGCAACGAGATGAGACGCCACTGGTACTTGCATCAAATATGAAAAATATGGGTCCCGGCGAAGAAATGACATGGAATGATGAGCGTTAAAAAGCAAAAGCTGAAGCGAAGATCCCGCAATCCAGAAGGTGTTCCAATTACGCGTTTTCGCATTCATATCGACAGATAACAATGTACATTCACATCATCTACATTAACACGTACGCATCGTACGCGACTGCGAATTTTTATAAGCAGAATACAATGGGCATCCGCACCGTAGATGTCGCCACACGCGTATCTACACCGGTGGAACCCGAATGCGCTTAGCATCGAAATCTAAGTTTTTCGGAGTTGTCTGACGCCACGAAATGTACTGAAGTATACTCTTGCTGGTGAAAAAATAGTAATGATGACTGAAGACGCATGTACATTGTTGCATTTAAAAATATAGCGTTTCAACACAAACTGCTGCATGCAGCACACTAGGCACAGGATTTCTGAAATGTAGTGTCTGATCCGCCTGTCACGTGGGGACGAAGTCTCTTTGACGTATGGACAGCTGACCAGGTCTTACTGGGGTCCCCCAGTTCGAGATGAATATTTCCGAATCGCTCCAACTCTTTCTTGCGAGTGCTGAGAATTGCCTCTCTTCGTTTCCGCACTTCAGCCGCCAGCCATCGAAAGAAAGATGCACCTCCGCACAGCTCACTGCGAGCCACCACCAAGTCCTACAATACAATCCACAACACCTGTAATACTCCAAAAGGTTAACGCAGAAACTACAATGGGTGAGCACGCACAGGCTTGCACGGAAATACAGACAAAATGCAGCACAGTAAGCAGAAAGCTTGTGAATTGAAGTATCTGTCAAGTACACTATACGCCATATGCAGTAAGAAGGAGAAGCACACACATCAACGCGCACCATGAAATGTGAAAAGTGCACTTGGGCAGTCAGAGTGATACACTAGTTGCATGCAAAGGGTTCGCATCCAGAAGATCCAAATTACACAGTCGCGGTGGCGGGCTCAAGAATAAGCGACAATTAGAGTGTAGCTCGCAGCTTCTAGAACGCGCACAGCAAATTTTCTGTTATCCTTGATTGCCACTCTGAACTGCCCGTGAAGCCTATCTAACTCCTTGACGGCGTCTCGTGCTTCTCGTCTTGTTTTCTGTTGTTCCAGCAAATAATACAGCCTTTTTCGCTGATAGGTTGCGGCAACGAAGGCGGAGTCGCCAGCTTCAAGCACCGTTTGGTTGAGAGCCTAAGCGAGAAAAAATACAGGGATAGGGCCAACTATCGTCCCCTGTCTTCTATTTGGAGTGCCTCATTCTGCGTTGCAGTACACACTAAAACGCCACTGGTCTTCTTCCTCGTCGCACAGAGAAAAGCCGTAACAGACTGGGTGCTACGCTACAACCTGTGCTGTCTTAGATGGAAGCATATTAACGCTTTTTGTTAGCTTTCATTGGGCCACTGCATCTTGCCCCTGCAGGCCCTGCTCATTTTACATTAGAAACGGATATCAACCCATTTTAATCGGTCAAGTAACTACAGTAAAGTACTCCCCAAGTGTTGGTTGGCCCTTTTATAAATTTAAGTCCAACTGCGCATGCAGCAGGATGCTGCCCGTTTGCAAAGCGTCCTGTACTTTGTCACTGATGCACGCAGCTACCCACTTCAAACACCACGTTTGTTTGTGACACCGCTGAGACCAACTGTATTCAAAATTGTAAATACTAAAGCCGCTAAACTCAGTATAGTTGCTGTCGTAGCTGGGGCTGCTGATGCAGGCTGCAATGGCTCGTCGCACCTTTAGCATTGGCATGTGGTAGAGAGCAAACATTTCGTGGTTTTTCAGCCTGCAGATGGGGTTTTGCTTCGACAAAAAGTGAACGTCCGAAAATAAAAGAGACTGAAGGTGGGGCAGTTGAGATAACAGGGTTACTTCGTGCAAAGACCAAATGCTGAGAAGGAAAAAGGAACGAGAGAGAAACTCAATAACGCATGCACAGCTGAGGGACTATACCCACAAGACCGCTGACCACATGAATCATAACCATCTGATGATAGCGAGCTCTGCGAATTGATAGGCAGAAGGAGGAGAAAACAACGACAGCAACACACAGCGCATAATCAACTGCGTGACAGTCAACAGTCAACAGGACATGGGAGAGCATGTGCAGGTGCAAAGGCTTATATGTCAACACACAAGTGTTGTTTCCTACGAGTGTGAATGCACGTGCATATATATATATATATATATATACATATATATATTATACACGGACATGCGCGCATCTATGAGCGGTGTTCAGCAACCAATATGACTATGGTTTCTTACGGGCAGTGTGCGCTGCTTTTGTCTTTTGTGCAGCTTCTAAGGTGCACGCGCTGTGATTACGGTGCCAGAGCTTACTGATTCGCTGCAACGTTAATATGTTCAAGATTTCTGTTGTTGCTAAGAGCTGCACCCACATGCGTCAGCTCGTTGTCGGCCACCTGCAGCACCCGCAAGTTCGCGAGGCCCTCAAGGCCTCGGAGACTACGCAGACGGTTGCTGTTTAGTCGAAGCGTGTGTAGCCGCTGCAGTGCTTGTAGAGGACCCTGTGCGGCCTGTTTGGCGGTCCGGTCTTCAGGTGCCCCGGGAAGGGCCCCTTTCTGTGCATTTGGAGGCGTTACGATGACGCCCAAGTCAGCAATACGGTTGCCAGTCAGGTCGACCTCTTCTAGAAATTTGCAGTTCTGGATTCCTTAGGCAAACCACAGCAAATGCGCCCAACGCATAGCCACTAGCGGAGTTTAAGCAGAGGGGTGTAAAACTGCATTTAAAGGAGTCAAAACCGAGAAGACAAGTAATTCGGAGCTAGTGAACCAGCCACATGCTCCTTCTCAAGCAGAAAAACAATGATACGGGAACGCTTCTGCCTAGCATACAGTGCAGTCGAGGACTGCGTTGCTCTAAGTGACTTGGTCTGCCAATAACGCGCAACATTCTTCAACTTCCTAAGCGCATTCTTTTGTGTGAGGAACGCCCTGCGTTCAAGTACCTTCAAGCCGGTCTATTTGGTTCTCGGGAAGGTGCAGCAGCTGCAGACTTTTGCAAACTGCAACGAAGTCGAGAGAGGTCAGCTGCTGCTGCACCAGCCGCAACTGCCGCAGACATCCAAAGGTCCCCAAAGCCCCCAGGGTCCTGGGGCCCAAAGCCCTGTCCATTATCAGCTCAATTGCGTCAACTAAATTCGCCTCCGATGAGTCGCGGATTCCCGTAACAGAATAAAGCCAGGAAAGGTCAGCAGAAGCACTGCATCAACAACAGCAATGACAGCAGCGAGGCAGTGACAGAAACAACAACGAAAACAACACAAGAACTGCCTTCCTGTATGCGTAGACAATATGATCAAGGGAACAAGAAGCAGCAGCTTTTGCGCCGGGCAAGATCCAGAAACTGAAGCAGTTTCTGCCGCAGGAGCGACAGGCTTTGCAGCACGGGGAGAGCTTCGTATACAGCGCACTAGGAGCAGAAGCAGCACGAGGAGGAGGAGAAACAGCAGAAACAGCAGCTGCAAGCAAATCCCTAGTTGCCGAAAGCGATGTTTCTAGTTGTCGGTGTCTCTTATGTCGCTCTCTGTAGAGCTTGTCTCTTCCGCAGCCTGCGCTATATGTAAACATCTCTCTGTGTACGCACCCCTCGGAAGAGTTGACGGATGCGGGGGAGCCGCCGGTCAGGGCTTCTGTTGTCCTCGGAAGGGGCCCTGTAGCTGTCTTATTAGGGCCCACTTCATTGTCGCTGCTGCTGCGGCTGCTAGCCGGGGATTCAGCTCCGTCGTCTTTGGCAGTGTCGTGCCGGAGGCCCCCCTTGGGGGCCCCCAGTGCAGACAAAACCCTCACAGCTGCAACTCCCGAAGCAGGGACCCTACGGAGAGTACCCCTTCCCTTGCAGCCCTGCATCCTTCGCCAGCCTCCAAAGCAACCTACTGAACTCAGATGAGGCCGCCCTAGAATACGGTTTCCACGTTGGCTTTCTTTGGCTTTGGCTACTTTATCTGCTGCAGCTGCTGCAACGGCGGAGTCTTTCAAACTAGCTGAGGGATCTGCCATTCTAAGACTCTCTGGGCGGCTACCCGCAAAAGAACTGGCAAACAATCTATACGGGCCGTGAGAGGCACAACCGTTGCTCGAGTTGTCGAGGCAACTGGAGCTGTTGTTATTATTGCTGTTGCTGTTGCTGTTGCTGTTGGTATGGGCGCTCCTGCTACTGCTGTTGTTGCTCCTGCTGCTGCATAATTGGTTTCCGTTGTAACATGCTGGCCCATCTTGTTGAGGCCCGTCGCTTTCTTCATATTTGGCGGTAACGGTGCTACTGCTGCTACTGTTGCTACTGCTACTACTGCTGCTGCTACTGCTGCTACTGCTGCTGCTGCTGTTGTGCGTCCGAAACTGACCGGCGCTGCTACTGTTGTGGGGGCTGGTGCTGTTGCTGCGTCTGCTTACCTCCACCGGCAGGCAATGCCTCCGTGAGCCCTCCGAAATGCAATGGACGTCAAGGGCTTGATGGGCCCCTGGGGCCTCAGGCTGATGTTGCCTGCTTTCGTTTACTGCTGCTTCTGCTGCTGGTGATGCAGGAGGCAGAGCCGCTTGCAGCAACAGCCCCCTCTCAGCGTTGTCTCCTTTTGATAGGAGCTGCGTATCACGCTGCCGTAGAGAGAGAATGCAGAGATTAGGCACTCTAGCGAGGCCTGGCAACTTGTAGGTAATACCTGAAACGGCAAAACTGCTGCTACGCTTACAGCTGCTGCTGCTGCTGCTTCCTGTGCTAGTTCTACCTTCGCCACACACTTCTCCCTTATCCTGGGGAATGCAGGCACTGTTGTTGCTGCTATCGCTGCAGCAGCTGCTGCTGCCACTGGTGGTGAACTTATTGCTGCCGAAATGAGTGCCTGAGGTCTCCGGAAGGCCCTGCATGTTTAGTGGACGCTTGCAGCTCTCCTCGGAATGAGTCTGGAGCGGCCCTGTTGCATGCTCAAGCTTGGCGCATGTTTCTTGTTCTGCTTTCAACAGAGCATTAATCTGTCTTGTTTCTTCCTGTTTGGGCTCTCCTCTCCACGACAGGCTCGATGAAGCCTCTACGTTATCTGTTTTTCGGCGTTGGCCAGCTGTTAACCCCGGCTCCTCACTTGTGCCTCTGGGCGTACATCGAAGCAGTTGCTTGTTGGCTGCATCTTCGTGTGCAGCAATAGCAACATCTGCAGCGGCTGATGCTTTAATGGCAACCACGTCAAGCATGGGGCTCTCAAGAGGCTTCTCTAGAGCTGCTGCTGTTGCTGCTGCTGTTGCTGCTGCTGTTGCTGCTGTTGTTGTTGTTGTTGTTGCTGCTGCTGCTGCAGGGTCGCGTTCGCCACTTTCCTGCCAAAGTGAACTCGCGCGAGAGCTGCGGAGAAAGCAGGTCGTGCTACTGCTTAGGCGAGCGAAATCTTCTGTCACTGGTCGCTGCGATATGCCGCCGTCTCCTCGGGGGCCTTCAGGTCTGCTGCTGCAACTTGGATGCCACTGCTGTGAACTAAATCGGGTGCTGCCGGTGCTGCTGCTGGTGCTGCTGCTGCTATAGTTGCTGCTACTGCTAGGAATGCTGGGGATAGGGTCCTCTACGACCACCGTGAATTGCTGCTGTGAACTGAAGCATCCTAAACTGGAAACGCAAGCGGGCTGAGAGTTCTGTCTCTGGGGGGCCCTACTTCCCCTTCTATCCAAGATGTTTCTGTTCCCTAAAGATGTACATGGGTTGATGCGAGCAGTGGTGGTATCTGTGATGCTGCTGGTATGTAGAGCGTTGCTGCTGCAGCTGGCTCCGCTGTTGCCCCCACTGCCACTGCCGCCAGTGCTGCTGCTGCTGTTTTCTTGCAGTTGCGCAGCTTTGCACCCCACTGCCAGCACACATGGGGCTGGGCGAGCAGGACGAGCCTCACCAGACCAGTCAGACTGCAGCGGCCGGCTAGAAATGCGGACTCCTAAGTGATTCCCAAGGGCCCCTGAGAATACCCCTCTAATACAGATGGGGGCCCCAGGCCGCTGATGTGGGCTTTTGATATTCCGCCGCATTGCTTGATAAAAGACAACAAAATAAATTTGTACGCATTGAAGGGCGGGGAGGGGGGGGGCCCAGGGGCCCCCTTTGATGCCCAAGCGAACCAACTCTCACTGCACAGGTTTTCTGTGTTTATCCTGCGTTCAGCTTTTTTCTCTCATTTCTGAACCAACACTCGCATCTTGCGACTGCATACCTCTACAGGTTATTTTTCAGACTTGTAGTGAAAGTGATCTGTTCCTAATTTTGCATCTATTCCTCTTGTTCACTTGCATTGCATGCTCCGGCGGTTCAGGTTGGCGGCGGCCATCGGCTGCTTTTCGCGGCGTAGGAATTAGAAATAGATGCTGTTTTTTAATTGTTGAAACTCAAAACAATTGGATAAAGAAAGGAGAACGGAAAAAGAACTTGCCGCTTTTAAAAGTTGGGGTTTATGCAGCGCGTTTCTTTACCAGCGGGTGGTGACCTGCATCGATCGCGGTGTATGCGGCGCTTGGAAATGCAAATTGAAGTCGGCCGCTCTTCCTCTTGAAATTAATCCAAATGAAAAAACAAATCAAGGAATAAACAAAGATGAAACCTGAAAAACCCAAAGAATCAAGTGAACAACACCGGAAGATAGCAAGTAGCCTTCGTCTGTCCTGTACCGTGAAACGGCCGCCAAAATCACTTCAAGAAATTCCTATCATTGAAACTGGCGCTTAAACATACTTAACGGCTTTGACTTCGCCTAGATTATTTTGGATCAGACTTCGATTTCCTCCTGAAGTGCCAATACAATTACATAAGCCCTATATACTAAACCCTCAACACTAGAAAGGCACAAGGCAACGGAAGTGCTGCTACTAGTGAGCGGTTCCAAAACATATTTTAAAACCATTTGAGTTGTGAGCAGAAATACAAAAAAAATTATCGTTATGGCCAGTGTCACGTACTGACACCATACACGTGCAAGTACATCGCCCGTGGCCCGTAAATCCTCGAACACAGCCATTGAACAACGCGTAGGTTACAGTTTACCGCATAAACCCTAATACCCAAACCCTTAAGCCTAGGGACTGACCTTGCGGCATCTCTAGCTTACAATTCGGTCTCCCTGTGCACTCTCTGCAGTCACACGACCTACATATCACGCGAAGAAACAATTAGTATTGCATACGGTGAGTAGCTATCACGCGTAAGTTAAATGCTTGGATTTGAGTTTAAACGCGAAAGAGTTACGTTGCATACATTGCGCTGCAGGGTATCATCGCAGTTGAAATAAATGTTTCAACTACTCTATACACGGCCACCGACCCTACGGTGTAGTAGGGGCAACAATTGTACCTTCCCCTTCTATTGAAATGTGGGAATGTTTATAAATGAGCTTCTAAGGAGACATACGCACGCATATATATATATATATATATAGTCAAGGAGCCAAGGACAAAGCTGAGAACAGATGCGCGCTTCGGAGATGTTTCTTGGTGGAACCGAAGAAAAGAAACTGTTCGCTTTGTGAAGGCCTGTCGTATCCAGTCAGGCGGCTACCCCGAGTCAAACCAAAAGGCCGCGTTAGCGTCCAGGACTTAGCGCTTGCGGGAAAAGCCCGTGGGAACTGGTGTAGAGTTTATGGTAAAAGTGTCTACAGGGTCTACAGTTCAGGGTTTCGGGTTGTTTTTCTGTTGCGATTTCCGGAGCTGCCGCGGGAGCCAACTCCTCAGCAGGTTCCAGTCGGCCGCTGCACACAAGCCGGAGACGCATTAACAAGTAGAATGAGAAAAACAAGTATATTTCAGTATCTTGTACTAAGCGAGAATACGTAACATTGTGCACAAATATATATATATATATATATATCTTGTGGAACATGCATGCATAATACATGTACATATTGCAGTAGTAATCGATTGCTGCACTATTTAAAAAACCCTCATATTTCTCGTCACTACAAGGAAACTACTTCTTGTGGATTGCCGCTGGGCATTCACTGAATTAGGGGCTTAGAATGTAGGGTTTGCACGCGAGACAAAGGCTCAGGGGTTGCATCAAGGGTTTAGGGTTTGGAGGCGTAATCCTAAACCCTAAACGCTGCAGGGGGTGTAAGGTCTAGGCTTAGGTTACTGTCTCTGGGAACGTCTTCTTCGTTGCCAGCCTTCCTTTTGTTGCCTTCCCACAAACGGCGACCTCAAAGCAATACATGAAAAAGCAGCAGAACTTTGTTCACACAGAGACGCTTCTGGATGCGCATGCTTGTAATCATAAGCCAATCATATAGCAATGCAAGCATTTAACAATTAATGAGGCGTGGAGTGGCACACAACAAAGTTACACAAACAACACCGCATAGTGACACTAAACAATGAAACCTTGTTATTATTAGTACTTTGTCAATTTGCTTCCCAATATACCTAAAACTAGGAACTCTATTAAAAAAAAATGTCAAAACATTCAAAGGAAACCTGAAACTACTGCAAATACATGCGGTTTGGCTTGGCTTTTCACATGCAAAAGACACGAAGACAAACGAAATGCTTGTCACACTACTCATCCTCACCTGGATCAACCGTCTCCGACTGCTGTTGCTGTTGTTGCTGTTGCTGAATGCTACGAGCTATGGACGCCAAACGCCTGGCGCCGCAGTGCTGCAGGAAAAATGTGGCAAGCCTCACAGTAATAAGTAAACTACTGGCTAAAGGATGGTATGCAGGTGTGTACATACCATACACGCAACATACATACTATAATGCATCACATATATTTAGTAGCCGGAGTAAAGTGAGGAAACGCAATGCAGTACTAAAATGTTAGTAAGACAGCAGTCTTGGGAGGCTCTCTGCTCCTCTCAGGCGTATCTGATGCTTTGAGGAAAACCGCACCCGTTTGCTGCCGTCTTCTGCGCGCATTCACCACAATAATAATAAAAAGGCAAGAAAATATTTGTCGGCAGCAAAGGCAAATAGAGAAAAAGAGGGTTTCCGCTTTATGCTGATGCATCTTTGTTTGTTAATGTGTAGACAGCGGCCACACATATTACTGCAGCAGCGGCGGCAGCAACGATTTAGCTGCGATTGCTCCAGGCGCTGCTGCTCCGTCGTACCTGGAGTGTCCGTAGGGTGCATGGTGAGTGCAGCAGCAGTAACAGCAGCAGTAGCAGCAGCAGCAGTTGCTGCTGTTGTTGCTCCTGTTGGTGCTGCCGTTCTTATCGCTTAATCGTAATTCCTGAAACACCCTTCAGCTCTTCTCTCCTGCCGACGCTGCTGATGCTGCCCCTGCTGCTGATGCTGTTACTCTTTATGTTGCTTTTGCCGCTGCTCCTGCTGGTTCGGCTGCTTCTGCTGCTTCTGACGCTATTGTCACCGCAGTTAGCGCTGCTTATGCTGTTATCCATGCTGCAGCGAATTCACTGAAGTTGCCGGATTTAGTAGATCCAAAAAGGCTGGCACTGAAGGTCTCGATAAGGCTGCTGCTGGAGCAAGGGGGGCAACAGCACCGGCAGCAGCATACAGCGACGCCGACCCAAAAGCGAACTGCAAAAGCGAATGAAAGCAGCGTAAAAACGGAAGCGTCTTGAGAATGAAAAACAACACCACTAATAACAACAACAGAAGCGGCAACTGCAGCCGCAGCAGGTGCTGGCGCATGCACAGCAGCGAGGGCTGGACGGCAGTCTGTTGGTCGGCAGCGCCGAGGCGGCGACTGGCAGTGCAGCAGCAGCAGCACCTGCTGCAGCTGATTTTCTCTTGTTGCAAATGTCTCTTTTCGATTTTCAGGATTTATTGAACACACTGAATAAATCTTTTTAGCTGAGAAGTGATAACAACAGCAGCATCAACAACATCAACACCAACAGCAGAAGTCCGTCGCCGATTGCCAGCTGTACACTAAGCAAAGCTGTCGCCACCGCCGCCGCCGCCGCAGCAGCATTTTGTCCGTTTTTTTAGTTTGTTCTTTGCAATGCATTAACAATTACCACTTTTTTCTTTCTATTTCAGTCAAATCGCTTAAAACTCGGCAAGTTCAACGAAGTAGCGCGGGGCACTGCAGCTGCTGCAGCAGCAGCAGCAGCAGCAGCAGCAGCGCCGCCCGCAGGCGTCGTTGCTCCCCACTGTCAACCTTTTCGCATGCAAAAAGACTCAAAACAAACACATGAACTTATTAACAAACTTTAGAAGAGCAGCAAAACCTCAGCAGCAGGACCAGAACCGCTCGCCGGAGCTGCAGGCGCCAGTCGCGTTGACCGCCGCCGCCTCCGCCACAGCAGCATCAGCAGCAGCAGAAGTAGCAACGAAGGCAGCAACAGCAGCAGCATCAAGTTATTCAGCAGCGGCAGGTGCAGGAGGTACCTTCCTGCAGCAGGGACAGTAACAGCACGGCGAAGCAGCAGCTGGAGCGAAAGCGACCTATATATCATGATGGGAGGGGACGGGGGAGAGTCAGGAGCAGCAACCGCAGCAGCAGTAACCGCAGCAGCAACAACCGCAGCAGCACCAGCAACGGCAACCGCACCAGCGACAACTTGCTGTCTGTGCCTACCTTGCAGCAAAAGTGCACGGAAACCGAAGGGAGGGTGGCATGCCCCTGATTGCGCTGCTACCACATATGAGATCCGCAGCAGCCACTGTAGGCGCTTCCTCAGCTGCCGCAGCAGCAGTAGCAACAAGGGTTTAAGCAGCAGCAACTCCAGCAGCACCCCACGGCCTCCCAAACTGGGCAGCACCGAGCCGCAGCTGAGCTGCTTCCTGCTGCTGCCCCAGCAGGAGCTCCCAGCACAGCTGCCAACTGTCTTGTGTTCTTCTTGTGCTGCTGCTGCTTCCTGGAGCAGATGCTTCGCATGCAACACCAATGATGCTGCAGCAGCAGGCTTTGGTCTAACAGGCCCCCCTAGCAGCAACGTACTACATCATTCCTGTTCGTCTCAAGGCAGCAACAGCGTTCACGATGGAGACAGTGACGTAGCAGCCTGTGCTGCTGATGGCGCCGCAGCTCCTCCCGCAGCAGCACCATCTGCTGCAGAAGAAGATTCAGAAGCAGCAGGAGATGCAAGGGAAAGCGCAGCTGCTGCCGACACAAGGGCGACGCAGCAGTGCTGCAGCAACAGCAACAGCAGCAGCAGTAAGCAGTGGCAGCTGTACATGAACCTCAGCAGCAGTTTCAAAAGCCGCTTCCCCTGCGTTGCATGCTGGCGCTGCAGTAACTGCAGCAGCATCAGCCTGAAGGCACTGCAGCTTCAAACAGCCAGCGGCAGCACTGTCCCTGCCCTCTTCTTGCGGCATCCAGCAGCAACTCAAACTTTGTTAGTCTCTCATCGCAGCAACAGCGATTTAGGCTTCACTTATCCTCTTCTTCTTTATCTTTGTCGTTCTCTGAACATCAACGTCCTGGGTTATGAGTACACCGGTTACGGATTCTGCTGCTGCCCTAGCAGGAGAAGCCTGGCAGTTCAACAGCAGCAGCAGCATCAGCAGCAGCAACAGCGGAGGCTCTGCACTCCTTCCGCTGCCGCAGTGCGTATGGATATCCGTGCTGCTTTCTTGTGGCTGCAGCAGCAGCAGCAGCAAACACCCCACAGTGTCATCCTATACAGCGAAGGCAGGGGTCTCCTCCCTGCTTTGCAGCTGCGTTCTGAACTTGCTGCCGAGGGGTTGCAGCTAGGGGGCCTGGTCTTTGTAGCTCCAGCGGCAACCGCCGCAGCAGCAGCAACGACAGCAGCAGCAGCAGCAACACAGATAAGCGGAAGACAAAGAGGACATGAAAGAGGGATACGCAGGCTTGTGCCTCCCTGTCTCCGCAGAAGACGCAGCGAAACGCACGAAGTGTACATGCAGCTGTTGCAGCTTCACATGGATGAGCTTCTGGTGCTTGAAGGAGCCTCCGAGTTGGAGCTGCAGCAGGCTACTGAGGGCAAGACACCTCAACTGCTGCTGCGCCAGCGGGCAGCAGCAGCAGCAACCGTTGCGGAGACAGGAGAGCCCGGCTGCTGTTGCTGCGACTTTCCAAAAGGAGACAATCTACGCCGCCTGAAGGCATTCATTCAACATGCAAAAGAGCAGCAGCAGCGGCCCTACGACCTCGCGCTGCAGCGGCAGCTCCGCATGCAGCAGCAGCAGCTGCAAAGGCAGCAACAGCAACACCAAGTCGCATGGAGCAGTATGACGCAAAGCGGGCAACATGCCAGGCCGGGCCAGAAGCAGCAAGGGAGCGAAATGCAGCAGCAACGCCAACAGCAGCGAAAGCAGCAGCAACAAGAGCAGCAACAGCAGCAGCAAGTTGCTGGGAACCTCTGCAACGACTGCCCAACTCCTATACACTCCACGGTGTCTCCGCGTCATTCGGCAGCCGTTAAATACACTCCAAAAAAACAGCTGGAGCAGCAGCAGTAGCAAGAGCAGCAGCAGCACCAGTGACAGCAGCAGCACCAGTGGCAGCAGCAGCAGCAGCCCCCCGTCCAGCGACACTAGCAGCAAGGCGAAGAAGACGACAAGTGCAATGGATCGAACTATAAGCGAGAATGATGCAGTGCTTCTTCGCGTCCTGGAAGGTGCAGTAGCGACAGCAACAGTAGCAACAACTGCAGCAGCAGATATCAGCGGAGGCGGGCTTCCTTGCTTTCGCAGCATCTGTGCCCAATGAAATCTCATAAGCGGGAGCGTTTAAATTACTGAGGCACCAGACAGAAGCAAAAGCAGCTGCAGACGCCAAGGCAGCAGCAGCAACAGAAACAAAATCAGCCTCTTCCAAACTCTGCTTGTAGCCTACTGCATCATCGTACTACCTGATATGCCGCTCACACCGTGCATCCTTTTGGTATAATGCTTGGAATATTCTATACGTCATAATCGTTTATGTATAATGTAGAATGCATGCGTTCATGCATCAGAAAAACAATATATATTGTACATATGATATATATTAAGCCGTTGTATTGTGTGGGGTTTCCCTCATTAGAAAACGCTGCCGCACTATTTGCGCTCCCTTTAAACACGTCGTAGCGAACGGTGTACACCTGGGGCAGGGCACCTCTCAGCAGCAGCAGCTGAAGCAATTGCTGCTGTTGCTCCTGCTGTTGCTGTTGCAGCTGCAGAACGCACGCGTTGCCATTCGCAGCGTAGGAGGCCCTTGCCTTGTGTCGAACAGCAGTCTAGCTAGCCGTTGCTGCAGCAGCTGCAACCGCAGCTGCTGCAGCACCTGCAACAGCAGCACCTGCAGTAGCAGCGGCGGCGACAACAACTGCTGTAATATGCATGCACTGTGCATACAGACGTCTTCGACGGGGGCCGCGAGGAGACAGTCTCCTTTCCATTTAGGAGCTGCGGGAGCAGCAGATTTATTTTCTCTCAACGGATCATATCTTTCTATTTTTCTGTAGCCTTGAGGTCTGCAGCAATGCATGCAGCGTGCTGCTGCTGCTGCTGCAGTGCATGCAGTGTGCTGCTACTGTAGTGGTGTTGCAACAGCACTGCAGGAGCAAGTGTTTGGGTGTAAGAACCGGGTACACCGCTGCTGACAAAAAGGAGAAACAGCAGTAGCTGCAGATGCATCAATGCACCATGCAACAAGAGAAGCAGCAGTGCTAGAGGCAGCCGCAGCTGAAACGAGAGCTTCGGAAGTAAAGCCCAACGAAGTAACATGGGAGGGCACCCACAGTTGCTGCTGCAGCAGCTACAGCAGCTGCAACTGTGGCGATACTGGTGCAGCAGCGGCAGCAGTAGCTGGCCCTCCCAAACGTCCAGCTCGGATGTGAATGCAAAGCAACAGTAGCAACTTTTGCTTCAGCGCGACAACAGCCAGAGCGGCACATATTGGGCGGCACATATTGGGCAGCGGCTGCTGCTTGTTTGACCTTGAAGTGCATTTGCTGTTAGGACTTATCGTCTCAAGTAGCTGCGGTTTTCTGTGCTTTGTCGAGCGCTTGCCGGGTAAGGAGCGAGCTGAAAGCGGATGCTGACGGTGTCAGTGAGGACTCGAATAACGAAACTCTGGGTGGTGGCCAGGCTGACGTCTGCAGTGTATCTTAAGCTGGCAGTTACTGTGTATGTATACCCTGGAGTGAGCGTGTAGGGGCGAACGCTGGCTTTGTTGTTGAGGGTGCTACTGGTGCTGCTGAGTCGAAGCAGCTGGTCTGCAGTGCGGGAGTCGTGGGGGCAGCTGGCTGTCCACTGTAGCGACACCCCGGCATCGAACGCAGTAGCGACTAGAGGACAGTATTCAGGCGTAACGACAAGATCAACACTTTCTTCTTTCTTTATGCTGAAATCCTTGTCCGATTGCAGCAACAAACGAGGAGGCTCTAAAGACAGAGATAATTTCATTTTCCCTGATGCTGCGTACCCGAAGATACACAACACCACACGAACACACGCACACGCACACACTAAAATATACCAAAATAGAGCATAAATGATTTCTGATGCTGTGGTGGAGGCAAGCTGTGCATGCACAGATCTCATGCATGCACGCCCAGGCGTGCATGCATGAGGTCTGCATAGACCTTTTATGAATGTTTTATATGCATGCCCATACATACAGATACATATATATGCATGTATATATGTATATATATATATATATATACCCAAGGAAAAGCACGCTTAACAGCAAGTATATATATATATATATATATA